GAGTTCCAATTGGTCTTTCTGCTCCCTTAATATTGCTCAAAATTTTGCCAGAGAAGTTAGCAGAAACGAAAAAAAACTAGCCTTGTAAGAAGAATATCTCCCTGGTACAGCGAGTCTGCAACCCCGCTTTTCTTGTTGATTTCCTCAATCGTGTCTCCCATTTCATTTTCATTTTCATCGACAGCTTTTCTCTTGAACGACTTGAAAATGGTCCTTCTTGAAAAACTGCTTCATTTGAGAAGGTCTACTCACTTTGCGTCTCTCGAAAAGTTTTTCTCTTTCTCTGTAGAGGAGTGGAGAGAATGCGATTTGTGCCGCTGCTCTGGCATTGCTTCCACACATACGGCCACAAGTATAGCAAATGCAAGGACCTTCATTCTGAAATGTAAAGCTGAAAGAAAATTTCGTCGGTCACGAGAAATGGGAAGCGTGCCGGTGGATGTGGCTGTTACCATCTTCTCGCATTTATATAGTGCTTTCAAGCATTGCAGTTGACATTACGGGGATAGTTGCAATGTGGTCTCAGTGAAGCATTGCCATTTCAGCTGCTGCTTTGTCTGACTCGCGGTGATATAGGTTGCGTATTGTGAAGTATACTGTAAAGGCCGTTGTGGAAACTAATCGATCAGTAGCTCTGCGTTGGCCGCACGCGTTTTGAAAAAAGCATACGAGCTTTTGGCGACACGAACAGCTGGGATAACAAGAAGATTTTGGTACACGAGCCAGCCACATAGCTCTCTATCTGCGATACCGAAACTCAAGTTTTGATAAGCTGAGCATATCCTTAGAACTCGGAGTGCATCATCCACATGCTGTTTCTGCGGCTTTCTATCAATAACTTGACGCATAAATTGTAGGTACTTGGGATGGTAAGAAAGTCCTGAGCCGATTTTTTGAAAGCTCCAGAACTTTCGCTTATTGATCGATACCTAGAATCTGCTACGTGATAGATTATCGCTGTCGATCATACTTCTCCGCAGTAGGTATATATTGCCGGGTTGCCTTCTTTAACTTTAATCATGATGTCGATTCCACAAGAGCACTTTCGAGCGATCATCTTCAATGAATGGCGCTGCGGCACAGGAGCAGTGGAAACCGTCAACATTATCAGCATCGCATTGGGAAGGGACACCACTTCCATCATCAGTGCCAAGCTCTGGTTCGCAGGCTTCGAAGGAGGAGACACGGCTTCCGAAGACAAGACAAGGTTGGGAAGCCCCAAACAGTGGAAGACTCCACCGTTCTCGGCGCTGTCGAAGAGGATCCGGAGGTTAGCACCCGCAGCCTTGTGATAAGACTCGGGTGCACCCATCCCACAGTCCTCGGTCCCCTCCACGCCCTCGCCACAGGAAAGTGCCGACTCGATGGATCCCTCATGTCTTGACCGATAGCACGCGGTTCAGGCGGGTACCCATTTGTCAGTTTCTCCTTCTTTGTCCGCACCGAAAGGAGTTTTGGAAGGCATGATTACGAGAGATGAGAGTTGGGTCCTCTACGATTCTAACAAGCACAGTGCCGTGTGGCTCCCTCGAGGAGAAGACCCGCCGACACAAGCAAAATCGGACCTTCACCCCAAAAACTGTCTTCTTTGCTACCTCTGGGATTCGTGAGGAATGTTGTATTATGAGATGCTCCCGCAAGACATACCGCTACCGGCAGCATTTACGCCAGTCAGCTCCAGAAACTAGCGGACGCTGTTCAAGAAAAACGACCGAGACGAACTTCTGTCCACCTACTCCACGATGACGCCAGGCCCCACATAGCTAAAGAGACCCGTGCAAAATTGGAAGAGCTGATCTGAGGTCATTCACGCAATGTCGGCACACCCCAGAGCTTAAACGTGCGGTACTACGTAACATGTACAAAACTGCTATGGAGGTATGCACCGGCAACGAGGAGCGAGAACTATCCAGAAGGATTAGCACATCAAATAGCTAATCTTAATGGATACACAGCGCGGCAACGTGAACGACGAAGCAGACCAAGACTTCTCCCACGCAGAGCTGAAGACAGACTGTATCTTCAGTTACCATTTATATCAGATCATTTTAGTGCAGTTATACAGCAATGCATCAGGAGAGCCGATCTGACTAATGTAGTCTTTTTGGTTAATACACCAAGAGAGAACATCAAACACCAGCTAGTCAGAAATCGCCTCTACGACCGAACCTGCGTCGTAGAAAATTGCGTAATCTGCCCATATGGGAAAGTCGGAGACTGTGGATAGAGATCTGTGGTTTAT